AGTGGAATGACGGGCGTGTTGCAGCCAGCGCGGTTCGACTTCGATACTGGCTGGTCCACGTGATCCAAGTTGCCTAATACTTTTCCTTTGAATATTTTTTAAACATATTTTATATAACGTTTTCAATTTCACAACAGACAACTTAAAATGTACTAATATCTGTCTTTTAGTGAGTCAGATGACAGTGTGGATGCAAGAATTCTTTGCCTCACGATAACGGGCAAAGCATTCCTCTGGCACCAGATTCGTTGCATCCTTTCTGTTCTTTTTCTGATTGGACAAGGTAAAGAAAACCCGGAGGTATGAAATTTTGTCTGCTTCATTTTTTTCATCTTCCTTATTGAAGGTGGTGCTCGACTTGCTAGATGTGGAACATCACCCAGGAAAACCGCAGTATAACTTAGCACTTGGTGAGAATTTCTGTATTATTTAAACACGGTTTCCAAAGTCAACAATTTAGAAGCCAGTTTTGCTTGGTTCCACCAGAGAATGAATTCCTATTTTTGACGGTTAAGGGTCCTCCTATCATTCATAAAATTGACACCAAAAGCCAAAAGCTGATATGCATGTTAAAGTTATAAATTTATTGCATTTACTGCTTTCCTGACAAACTTGTCTTAAAAATCAGTTTCATTTTGAGCATGGCAGGCCTTGCTGTTAAGTCAAACGCTTTTATGATTTTCTCACCTGTTGAAGTTGTTGGATTCGTTGGAGAAGGACACATTGCTAGGCGATTACGTCCAAAGTCAGCAGTGACGTTAGAATTAATAAGATTTTGATTAGGGCAATATTCTTTCCCTTTTGGATGCCTGTGCGTGCTGCAACTGTCATGTGCATGACTCCTTTCTGAGTTAGCCCTTTTTGATCAGATAGTGCCCATGATACATTTTGACTCCAAAGTTGCGCATGAATTATAACCTCATTGGAAGCTAAGGATCGTATCGCCTCACGGTGTTGTTTCTGACGAGTTTCCTTCTTACCGATGTCTTTCCTTTATTCTCAGTCTGCCACGTTATTTTTTTCTGCACTTCAAGGCGCTTGTTCAGAGCAGTAAATTTTCACTTGTGACTGACTTTTCTTAGAGACAGAAATTAATGGCCTACTTTATATGTACAGACAGTACTGGCGGTTGGTTGCTGTTAGAAATTTTACCTTGCATCGCTGCAGTCCCGGGAAGTCTAGCTTCATTTGTGAAACTATTACTTGTTGATATTCTAACTTTCTTCACTGTTTGCATAAATTGACTCTAACCACACGCATGGCGAATGATACAATACGAATTCACTTTAAATCCGTAATTTCTTGAAAACCGTTTTGACTGTATTTTATGTCTTTCCTTCTTCCTAAATAATCATTTGTGAACGTTTAAGCCGTTCACAGCTCTACAGTGGTTTTGCACCTCTTTGGTAAATCCAGTTTTGGAATAGTTAAGATCGTATTAACATGCTTAGGCTATGAATCCTTATTTTCGAATTTAAAGCATTAATCATGAACTTCTGGGTTAGGGAATTGACTTTCAATGTTGCTTTGCACTTTTCTTATTCGAATTTCATACGTAGCCCAAAATTTGATTATTGAAACTGATTATTCCCTTGAGCAAGGGATTTTTCTTTCAGTGATTCGATTAAACCAGTCGAAGAGCGGGTAACAAGTCACCTTGTGAAAGACAGAGCATGGTGTTCTGGTGCGGTCATGACAAGGCGTAATAGACATACCACTATACTGCCTAGTGCGTGCGTTTTACGGTTGGAGTTCTTCTTGAACCACCTACTAATTTACTAATAGCCAACACAAGTTGTAAGCTAGTAAGAGGGAAAATTAAATGTTTAATTTTGCAGTAGCCTACAATGATTTTGATTTATTTCAAACATACCTAGCCGATTTTTAGATTTTCCACTTGTTCTTCATGAATGCCGCTTCGAAGAGATTGAATGGCAGTGGAATTCTGAATACTGCGAAAAGCTCATCGCACAATTCCAACGACAGTGGCTACATCATTCTCTAAAGTAACAAATTTCGTTTGCTCTTAGATCAAGTAGGAGATGCCAGCACAATATAATCTCTTCAGTCACAACCCCGTAACGTATTGCAGTGAACAGCCGACCCTTGACAAACGATTGAAGCATTATTTTAATAGTTGTGAAAATAGAATTTTGATAGAGGGGGGTGCAAATAGAATGTCATAACGAGAACTCTTTATGAGATGTTTCTTTGGTTGTCAAATATTTGCGTTCATCATTTATTCATCTTCTATGGCTGCTTCTTCTCTCACGTCGGGAGGCACACGAGCCAGACCGTACTTTCAACGTTCCCGATCCTGTGCCAGAGTCTGAGCCTCAGCAAAAGACAACCGGAGTCTGGAACAGACTCCTTCCATATATTTGCACCAGGTTCATCTTGGCCGTCCCCTAGGCCTCCTGCCGGGCGGTTTTGCAGAAGCAGTTGCTTATACTTCCTTTCTGGAGGCATTCGCAACACATCGCAAACCATCGCAACTGTGGCTTCTCGATCTGGAGAAGGTTCTCCCGGATGTCAGTATTTCAGACCATATGAAGAAGCGAAAGGCTAGCGACTTGTCTAAGAAAGCCCATTTCAGCAGCTTGTACTCGGGATCGTAGATTTTCACTCATGGTCCACGACTCATGACCGTCGGTGCGCATGGGGGGGGATAAAGATCGACTTAAACACAGAGGGCTTCGTCTTCAGACTGAGCTCTCCTTTACACTCAGTGGATCAGGCTTGTTCACGCAGAATGCCACTGGCTATTACAACTCTCCGGTCGATCTTTTCCTCCAATTTTCACCACTAGTAAATACAATTCCGAGGAACTTGAACTTCTGCACCTGCTCCGCATCCTCTCCGTTAATCTCAAGAGAGCAATGGGCAGGACAACGAGAAAGCACTAGGCTTTTCGTCTTAGATTCGTTTACACGCATGTTCGTCATGTCGCACTCGGCTGCGAA